TCCAGAGCGGGAAGCAGGCTCAGGGAGGCCAGGCCAGAGGCCCAACCAAGGCCACTCGTTTCAGAGTCGGAGCGCGCTGGCGGATGGCATGGCACTGGTACCAAGGGGCTTGGGGCAGATGTCCAGGATCTGAGATGAGCGGTTCTGGGTGGCGTATGGCCTCCATGACCGTCCTGGATCCTGGCAGGAGCAGCCTTCCAAGTCTGCTGTCCTGGACATGCTCCCCCAGAGAGCCCAGAAGAGGCAGCGGCCCAGGCAAGTGTGCCTGTGGGGGAGGGGCTCCAGGGTCAGAGGAGTGAGGCTCCTTTCTCCTAGTCGGAGGCCTCCAAACCAAGAGGGGGGCCTTCCTCCTGCAGCCCTGCCTCCTGTTGCCACAGTGCCTGAACCCTCCCTTAGAAGTGACCAGCAGGGGGGCCCGGAGAGCTGGATGCAGGCTTGGTTTGGGGGTAGGGAGGAACCCCAAATCCCCGGGACTACCAATCCTGTGATGCCAAAAGCAGACCCTGGGTGGTGATTAGGAGCAGCCTGGTGTTACTGGAGGGAGAAGGGAGGAAGAATTAAGGGGAGGTTGCTAAGGGTCCCAGGCTGCTCCACAGGGGAATGCTGGTGTGGGCCAGGAGGCTGAGCGTGAGGAGTTTTCAGGGGAGGTTGGGGGTGGCACCTGAGAGTTGGGGTTCATCACCATTCCCACCCCAATGGCACAGGGCGGCCCCTTCCTGGGCACGTTGCTCACTGACCTGGTGATGCTGGACACTGTGAGGGAGGATTATCTGGAGGTGGGTCTGAGGGCAGGAGAGCGGGTGCCAGGACCATGAGACTTGGCAGGAGAGACCCCCTCCCCCACACCCGCCCCTGTACTGAGCCCTGAGTTCTCAGCACTTGGTAAACCTGTCAGGAGAGCCTCTCAGCCGCCCCTGTGAGCTGGGGTGTCATGCCCATGTTGGGGACCAGTGAATGGAGGTTCCCCATAGGATACCCACCCCAGTTCCCCAGGCTGGTGAAGCAGCAGAGCTGCCTGGGTGCAAAGGTCCAGGAGGTTTTGTCGGTGTCTGTGGAAGGGAGAGATGTCAGGTTCCTCTGAGTCAGGCAGCACATAAGTGGCTGAGTAGTCCTTTCCGGTCTGAGGGCACAGTCTTCCCGCCTGTCATCAGAGAGGGAGGGCTAGAAGGTCCCTGAGCTTCAGCTCCGTGTCCCCTGCCCAGAGCCTGGAGCAGGAGTCTGGCCTAGGTCCCAGGCCTGTTTTCTGTGTGTGCCCTGCCCCCTCGAGGGCTCTGGTGGTAGTGCAACATGAGAAAGGGTAAAGAGGCACTAGTTAAGGGGCTCTTTCTGAGTGATTTAGGCTGTTTGCCTCCCAGGGGAACCAGATCAACCACCAGAAAAGGAGTAAGGTGAACAGCAGGCTGTGGCACTCAGTGGGGGCGAGGGTAGGGGAGTGGACATCAGAGATGCCCCTGGGGCAGGACACTCCTTGCTGTACCCCCTGCGTCTCACATTTATTGGGAGAGTTTGATCACACAGAAGTAGGGGCTGGCATCAAGGACAGCTTGCTGAGGGCGGGGCTATGCACACCCATCTCTGAGAGCAGTCAGGACCTGGATGGAACTGGAGAGACGGGGGTTCCCCTGTGCGCAGAGGCCCTGGACTGGCCCCTGCCTCACTCCTCACCCCTCATGAGCCCTTGCAGTACCCCCCACCCAGGCCCTACCTGCTGCTGCACAGGGGGCTGCAAATCATTACAACCTTGAGCCTGAGGAGCAGTGTGGGCCTTCTTTCCAGGATATGGAGCAGCTCAGCCAGAACTTGAGGTGAGGCTGGGCAGGAGTTGAGTGAGGGCAGGTACAGAGTCTCCCTGGCGGCTGACTCCAGAGTTTGCAGCCATGGCTGCCTTATCAGACCTTGCTATGTGGCCACCCCTGAGGCCCCCAGACTCCTGCCACTGGGCAGGCACCTGGAGCAACATGTGAGGTATGGCTCCTGGTAGGTTCACAGGTACAGTAGCTAGAACCCACCCTGCTGGCTGGAGCCCAGTCCTGATTGGCCACCAGAACACTCAAGGCCAAGAAGAACTGGCCATCATCGAGCTCAAGGGCGAGTGTCCATGCTGGCAGTGGCTGAATCCTCAGGGCTCCATTAAGCTTTGGGCCAAACGTGATTTTGGAGAGTCAGAGCCCAGCTCCACCATTGACCAATTCTGTGCCGGAGGTGATTCCCCTCTGATTTCTAGGACTCAGTTTTCTCCTCCGTGAAACTGGTGATGCAGGGACAAATGACGCATTGACTGATCAAGCACTCAGCACAGTGCCTGGATCTGAGTGCAGTGGGGGCGGGGTGGTGAGGGGGGCCATGACCCTGGGGGAGGCCTCCCAAGGTAACCCCTCTCTTCTGTCCAGCCACCAGGGGCCCAACACAGAGTCCAGATTACACTCCTAAGGTTGGGGCTATTTTGTACCCCTAAGGCCAGGTCAAGGGCGCCCCCTTCTTCAGCAGTGGGGGCAAAGCTGAGGCACTCAGGGTACACTGCACCAGCCCTCCCGCTCTGGGGTGAAGGAGGACATTGTGAGCCTTTTCCTGGAGCTTCCATGAAGGCCAGAAGAGGGGTGACCCTTGTCCCATCTCCCTGACTGCTTTACCCTAAGGCCTCTTTACTTCCTGGGGAGAGGCAATATGTATTTGTTGAAAACAGTAAATGCTAGATTTGAATATTATTAAAATCCATTTTCTTTTACAGCTTGAGTTGAGATTTGGTTCTTTCACTTCTGGGCTAATTTAAATGAGACTAAATATTCTCTCATATTCCTCCTTGAACTAAAAAATCTTGCAGGCTCATCAGCTTACTGTATGTGGGAGAAGGGAGAGGGGCCAGCCCTTTCCCTGGCCGTGAAGGAGACCCACAAGCCCCCTTCCTTGGAGGACACGTGCATGTCATTATTGTGAACCTGGGCTAGGAGCAGATGCAGCAGCCCCGCAGCTGCCGCAGCTGCAGCCCGGAGGAGGCTTGAGATTCAGAGGCTGGGGGGACTTGACAGGCACAGGGACAGCCCTGACATTTGGGCGTCTTTAAAATTAACCATTTCCTGCCCTGGGAGAGTGGCCTCCTTTCTCTGCTTCTAGGGAAGCGGGAGCATGTTCTGCTTCTCTTGTTGAGGTTTCTTTTGGCCAAATATTAGGAAGTTGTAGTTTTCTAGTTCACGCTCTGGAATTGCACCAGTACTAAGTAGGGGCAGGGTGCATGTAGAGAGATGAAACATTGCACGTGGGAAGGATGAGGCCAGAGGAGGATGAGGCCAGAGGAGGCGCACGGTCTGAGGGCAGGCAGGACTCTCTATCACAAGTCCCCTCCTGGGAACCTACGATCGGCCTTCACCTAGGTTTGAACCCTTCTGGGATCCTTGTCCATGACCTCTGAATTCCTCTTCCTGCTTATTTCATGTCCAGGGGACCATTTGTGACACACCTTTGAAAGCTCCGGCAAGGCCTCATTCCATAAATATTCACGCTATCTGGGAGCCAGGACGTCCAGCGCCCCTGCGCTCCCTTGTACAATTCTCTCAAAGACAGAGATTCCCTAGAGGCCCCCAGCCTCTCTGTCGGGGACATCCTGGCCACTCCTCCCTGGATGGCACCTGACGGATGGCAAATGAATTCTGCTTTGCTGGGGTAAGGTCTATACACCTGGCCATGGAAAGACTGCCACACACCCACCCCCGCCCCGCCCCAGTCTCCCTTGCTGGCCAGAATGACTTCTGGGGCCAAGTCTACAAATAGGCCCAGAAGCTAACAGGCCGGTGGATGCACATCCGGAGGAGAATCCGCAGTCAATGGCTAGACAACGACCTCAGGGGAGACCACCGCAGGGCCCTTTCTTCAGGGAGCTGAGCACAGTGCAGTGGACATGCATTGATCAGATCACCATGAAGTGTGACATCATAGATAACAACAACTAACATTTTATTGAGAGTTTAGGATATATCGGGCCCTGCTTAGGAGTGTTCCCATGTATTCGTGATTTTATCCTCAAAATTACTGTGGATATTGTAGGTGTTACCCCTTTTTACATGAGAGGGAAAGGAAGCACAGAGAGGCAAAGTCATCTAGCCAGTGTCACACAGCTAGGCAGAGGTGGTGTGGGGATCCCAACACCCCAAGTGCCAGTTTTCTCAGTTTCTAAAAGCAGACTGATAAGCTCGGTCCCGGAGATTGAGAGACAAATCTGGCAAACACGGGGCCGGGTTCACTGTAGGCGACAGCGACTGAAATGCAATGGTCCTGTGAGGGGGACAGGGACTTCCCTTGCCCCGCCGGAGGGCCCTCTGGCACTTGCACAGGCTTCATGAGTGACTTTGAGTGGCCAGACTTTATACAGATCCCAAGCCATCAGAGATCGTATGCCTGGGTGTGAAGCACCTGGGTTAAGTACTGGGCCCTCTGCACAAAGAGAAACGTCCAGGCTCCCCAGCCTGGTGTCTGGGCCACCTTGGGTGGTCTAACCAGTCCCCCAGGCCCTGCGCTGCAGCTGCCAGAGGGCTCTCCCTCCTCAACCACACCTGGGCCTTTCTCGCCCCCCTGCCTTCGAGCACCTGTCTTTGCCTCCTCGGACAGGCAGCTTTCCCAGGGACACCCCCCCGACCCCCGCCCGGCCTCCCACCACAGAGAACGTGTACATCTTTCTTTGTGACCACGATCCAGGTCAGTTCCGATCGTTTCTCATCCCAGCGGCCAGGGCAGGGCGAGCTCAGGGTTTGCTGGCTCCCCCCACCCAGCCAGAGGCTGGGTCTCAGATTTGCTTCTGTCTGGCCACCACAGTGCCTGGGAAAGAGGAAGCAATCAGACCCTGTTGAAATAGGGACATACCTCCTTCCAGAGAAAAACCCGTGTCAGAGGGCTAACCTCTCCTGGTACAGAAATGCTACCACCTTCTCCAGAGACACAAAGTCCTGCCCTGCGCTTGTCAACACGGCTGCCTCCTACCCAAGCAGAGCAGAAATCACGATCAGGCACAGTTGGTGCAACAGAGATTCTCTTTAGTGCTCGATCTTTTTACCAGGGGAGTGACTTAGACCCGAGACGTCATTGCTCAGCCCAGGTGCCATCCCCCGAGCGGCCGATACAGTGTGCCGTCCACGCAGACAGCGGCTGTACGTCCCACCACACTCAGGGGCAGCTGCAGCGCAGCCTGGGCCTCCTCTCGGGGGCGGCCATCCTGGCACGGCCTCAGGGCAGTGCTGGAGGTCAGAGTCAGCTCTCCGAGCTCGTCAGCAGAATCTGGGTGAACTCCTGGGAGCCATGACCCAGTTTTGATTTTCTGAGCATGACCAGTCCGGGGTTGTTGATCAGGGTCTGCAGCAGGAGCCACCTCGTCCTGGACCTAGCTGAGACGCGGGGACCTAGGAGAGAATCAGAGCCGGGAGAAAGGGCAGGGGCCTGCTGTCTCTGTCCTTCTCAGGGGCTGTAAGGAACACTGCCCCGGGGCTGTGATGTGTGGGGTAAAAGCGGGGGAAGGAGGCAGACCAGGTCTCCTGGGGACACGAGGGCGCTGGAGGGATGTGTCTGCCCCACAGAGCTGGGTATCTGCAGAGTTAGGAGCAGTGATGAACACAGCCCAGACCGGTGCTGGCAAGATACAACTAACCGGGGGCTTCCCGGCGGAAGGCAGAGCTGAGGATTATGGGGGGAGGGTTGGGAATAAACAGTACAGAGCCTCAAGGGGCCAGGAGTTGGTGGCCGGGAGAGCTGCGGTACACACAACTGAGTGACCTCTTGGAAGGCACCTGGCTGAAGGCTGGGGTAGGCGTGGGGTCTCAAACAAATGGGGATCGTAGGACTCAGACAGAAGAACTAGAGCTCATTTTGGGGAACAAGAGAGGAGTCCGTTAGAAGGACAAGGACACAGGGCCTCAGGGGTCCCCTAGCCAGACTGGCGGGGTGCTTACCTTCCTGATCTCCTGGGTAGATTTCCCAAGCATGGACTGTAGAGGCAAGGAGGCAGGGGAGGGGGAACCGGGGACACCACGGGGATCCCAGGAACCCTCAGGGTACTCATTTCCTGGTGCCCAACCTCAGGGAAGGCTCCAACAGGAGACTTACCTGCTGACTGATTTGGGTGCCTGTATAGGACGGCCTGCTGCAGCTTCCTGTCCCTGCGGCCTGTGATCAGGATGTGGCAGAAGCTGACGAGCACGGGGTTGGTGTGGCAGTGGTCCACATAGAGCATGCCGACCCAGGCGCCGAACCCTGGAACCCAGAAGGCGGGCGAGGCCATGCAGCACACCCCGGGGCAGCCAGGGCGTGCTCTCCGTGACGCAGCTGCAGCGTCACTCTGTCAATGAACAGTGCCCGTGTGTTTGCGGAGAATCTGGAAAACTAGCTGTGAAGACCTGGCAGGGTCCTTACAGGTCACAGTCTAATCCATCCATTTTCCATGGAGCTTGCAGCTCAGAGGAGCTCCTTTGATGAACGGGTGGGTGAAGGGATGGACACGGGCCAGAAATAGAACATAAACTCTTTCTGCTCCATAGAAATGGCTTTGACTTTGGAGTATTTCAACTGAACAGACCATTTTCGTACCTAAGTTAAGTTTCCAACTAATAGCACCAGTAATGCAGAGATGTGTTCCTTCTCAAAACTGTCAGCGCCGTGTGTTCATAAACCACCTCCTAGCCGTTTAGGTGGAATCGTGCCGCCTCTTACCGCCTTCCATTACACCGAGAGGGTCTGATGAACAGCAGGTGCTCAACAGCCTGAGTTCCCTTCTGACTGTCGGGCTGAGCATGTGCGTGTGTGTGTGTGTGTGTGTGTGTGTGTGTGTGTGTGTCCTACTCAGCTTTATAGCCTCCCTGGGAAGATAAGCTCTAAACAGAAGCGAAGAATGAACTCTGTCTAAGCCTCTGGTACACGACTTCCAGCAGCTTTTACACAGGTGCAAGCCCAGCCCTCCCCGGATGCGTGGCCATGGGGGGCCGGCCACTCACCCATGTCTGCTTCCTCGTAGCCATGCTGCATGATGGTCCTGTCAATGCGGGCAATCAGCCACGTGCCCAGGATGCAGCTGATGAGCAGCCTGGAAAGGCAGGCGCCCAGGCCCAGCAGCACGTTGTAGAAGAACAGAAAGTAGTTGAAGTTGTGGAATGCCTTCCTGCAACGGAAGTGGGTGGAGGGGCCTTTCAGTATGAGAGCACGGCCAGGCAGACAGGCTGAGGGGCCCCCAGAACACTGGTCACAGGGCTGGGTGAATGTGAGTAGCGACCGTCATGTTTGATGGGATCTGTGGGTTTTGAGATTTCCTGAGTGATAAGAAATCTCCTGTGGCCACAGCAGGTTCTGTGGTTACAACTGAGGTTGTGGCATTCCCACTATCTGTCGTAACGGGGACCTGCCCCCAGCTGGAACTGTTCCAAGGCGTCCAGATGAGATTTCCCAAATGACCACTTGACCGTGTGGTTTCCCGCCGCCTATGGGATACAGCCCAAACTCTGCACAGCGAATTTCTGGGCCCTCTTCCAAGGGGCCTTTCTGGCACGGGTGCTCTGTGCCCACTCCCTGCCTTCACCATCTAAGGCCACTTCCTGGCCACTGAATTTGATTCTTACTGTTCTCCTTACACGTCCTGCCCTTCCGTGGCTTCCTGCCTTCACCTGCACAGTGGGTGGTGCCAGCCACGCCCTCGCCTCAGCTCTACCTGTAGGAATCCCACCGTCTCACTGAGTTCAGCTCGAACGTCCCACCTACAGGGAGCGAACCACTCCTGCCCCTGCCTCTGCTCTGCCTCCCTGCCTCTCCTCTGTCACTCGAGTTTTTTTTGTGTGATCCTTTTGCACGTTCTGGTGTCTCCTGCCCCTCTATGTCCATGTCTGTCGGCTCTCGTGGACCATGAGCGTCTCATAGGCAGGTCCTGTGGGGCCAGCTCTTTATCCTTAGGGCCCTGTTGTTTCCCCCATCAGCACGTGGCTGAGCAAGTGCATTGGAAAGGATGGCCACAGGCCAGGCGCTGTTGTCCCAAGATGGTACCTGAACACCTTTCATCGTCAGGATACCTCCTTGAGGTAGGCACGATTATTTATAAAATGAGGAAACTGACATTCATAGATGTTTATAAAGTCACACAGGCTAAGGAAGCTCATAAGGGGTGGAGCCAGGGAATTTGTCCCAGAGCCCACTCCTCAACCACTGCCTCTCCCCCTCTGAGTGTGGAGTCCGCCCAGGCACCTGCCAGTGGTGAAGAGGAAAGAAGGAGAGACTGCTGAGGCCGAAGTGCTACATTCGCCACCGCTCCTCTGCTCTCACCTGTTGTTCAGCGCCAGGGGCTTCTGCTTGTCGGCTGCACCCACCTTGGGCTGTAGGAAGAAGCTGGAGGCGATCCACACCTGCATGATCATGAGACCCAGGACGATGGACATGGTGAGGCTGAAACACACAGGGGGACCATGCTGAGGGGGCCATGTCCACTCCTCTCAAGCCCCTCTCAAGCACCCAGTGACGCAGAGGAGCGAGATGCCCGTGGCCTGCGAGGCCAACAGTAGCAATGAGCCCCTGAGACAGGCCTACCGAGCCTTCGCACGCCCGGTGTGCAGATGAGAAAACCGTGGCTCCCAGAGGGGAGGGAACTTTCTCAAAGCCACAAAGTCGGGTCTTCTAGCTGTAGACCAGAACACCAGGATACAGGGGCAGCAATTGGGATGAAAGGTTTAACAGCATGGGGATCGAAGAAAGGAGTGGGGTTTTAGAAGAGCTCATGAAGGCCACGTGAGAGTGGGTCGACCAGGCAGGCCTGCGCCAGACTCGCGGGTGTCTCTAGGTGAGCGTGGAAGCGAGGAGCAGGGGGCAGGGAGGTCTCTGGAGAGCACCACAGCCCGTGTTTGCACCCCCTGGGTAGCAGTGTGGGGCAGTGGTAAATGAGGCCTCTGGGTGCAGACTGCCTGGCTCCCGGCCCTGCCTCTCCCCCGTCCTTGGACAAGTTGCTCTGCATCTCTGTGCCCCCGTTTCCTCGTCTGAAAAAGAGGGAGCTAATATAAGTCCCGACCTCAAAGAGTTCTTACGAGAAAGGGCACACAGTGAATTCTGAACGTCAGCATTCACTTTTACTTTCCATGTGGGTAAACAGAGGTGCAGAGAAGCAACTTACCCAAGTCACACAGCTGATCTACAGCCTAAGCTCAGGTCCCCTCTCTCCTTCCACTAGACCGTCTTCTCACTTCACCTCCCCAACCTCAGTCTTCCCAGCTACAAAACGGACTTACGTGCATCTGCCACAGACACAGATGTGAGGACCTCACTGAACAACGAGTGGAAATATTTTGTAAATTGTAAGGTTTACAAAATATTGCAATGAGTTGCCCTCTTAGCCCAAGTTTAGACTGGAGCTAAGAGCGTGGGTCCAGCGATTGGTGAGAGCTTTGCAGAGGGGCATTCTGAAGACCCGCTGCGAGGGCCCACCGCTCCCAGGCCCTGGGCAACGGTGGGAAGCCCACCAAGCACTTACATGCCGATGCCCAGTCCGTGGAGCATCTCCAGCCCCTGGTTGTGGATGATGGGCAACACCAGGCTGTACATGATCACCAAGCCCAACAGGCTCTGCACCACATGAATAATGAGGTAGCCTGTGGGCCAAGGGAGCCACCGGTCACTCAAGGCCCTCTGTGACTCAGTCACCCACGTCCCTGTCTGGAGTCCCAACCTATCCTCCTCCCAGCAAAGGTGCTGGCACTTCTGTTGATGCTGTTTCTTCTGCTGGGCGTACCCTCACTTTTCTTCCCGCTGGCCTTCTGCTTACCCTGCCGGGTGTGGTTTGAATGCCAACCTCACTAGAATGTATTCCAGCCCTACCCTGGGTGTGGACGGTCACTTCCTCCTCTGGGTCACCAGTGCCCTTGGCACGTCCACCCTGTGGGCTCAGGACAGGTGGTGATGACAATCTGTATGAGCCTGTGAATCTCCCTCCTTCCTGAAGGTCCCTCAGAGGCAGGAGCTGGGGCCGCCCCCGCCTCTCCCGCCTCTCCCGCCTCTCTGCCCACTCACACCAGCACTCCACAGGGGCCCCGGTGGCATGCGCTGAACCGAGTGGGCCTCGTGATGGCGCTTACCCCACAGAATGTAGGCTATCTGCCAGCCAGAGTACCTTGCAATGGCCACCTGCAATTCAAAAAGAAAAAGGGCCCCGGAGGGGAGAAAACCTTGATTATCTCTGACCCACCTGTCCCGCCTCCCTGTCTCATTGGAGATTCACCCACCAACCCACTGTGGCAGGTGACTGTCCTCATTTTACAGCCGAGGAAACCAACCAAGGGCCACATGAGTAACTATCCCGGGTCACCCAGTAGCCGAGCACCCCAGAGCTGAGGACTCTGGACTACCAGCCGGGGTACTTTCCATCACACTGCCCCGCCTGAGGTGCCAGCGAGCAGGTGTTGGTAAGCCGCTGAGTCTCAGAGCAGAGACAGGTGTCCGCAGACTTACCACACTCCCTGATGAGGAAGGGTTACGGAACTTCAGAGGGAGAAAGTGTTTATTGCCTGCCCACAACCTCTTCATGTGCTTTCTAGAAAAAAGAGGGGAAATGAGCAATGTTCATCACCACAGTGCCGCAGGCACTTGGAGCTCCGTGGACATATGACACGGGAAGGCCAGGGGAGGGAGAGGGCGGGCAGCGTAGCCCCGGGCATTGGTCACGGCTCATGGGAGAGTTCTGATTAGCCTTAAAAATCTTAAATTTAATACATTTTATAAAAATAACATAGTTACCTAGTCTTAATGGTGACTGTGATATTTGAGACTGTGTACGTGGCTTTTATTTTTTTCACTTTGCTCTATTTTTTTCTACAGTGAATATAAATTATTTATGTAATAATACTTTACAACAGGTAAGAACAGGAAACCATTTTTAATGTAATCCCCACCTCAGAACAACATAAAGGGAAGTGAAAAAGGGGACATGGCCCCTCACAATGCCAGCACCCAAAGAGATCACTGTGTGTTCGCCCCCTGCTAGTCTTGGCCTGAACCTTTGTGTAAAGATTAGGTTGGCGGAGTCAAGTTCAGTCCAAATTCACACCTGGGCCCAGCTTCTTTCTCAACATTCTATCTCCAGCATTTTCCAGGCTGTTTTGTAATTTCATGACCACTGAATTGGGAAGACTTGGTATGAAAGAAAGAGTAGAAATACCTCATTAATAGTTTATATATTTATCACATGTGGAAGTGACGGTATTTGGGTCATGTCAGGGTAACTATATTATTAAATTATTTTCATGTTTTTAACAATGTCTCCTAGAACATCGAAGGTCACCCTGTGGCTTTCACCGTGGTTTCGGTTTGCAGCACCGGAGCAGCGTGCACAACCAGGGGCACGAATGCACACCGACACATCAGCACAGGAAGTGTCTGGAAGGATGCTCAGAAACATGAATAACCATGTTTGGCTCAGGGGCAACAATGGGGCTCTGAATGGAAGACTTGCTTTACGCTAAATATTTTTGGTACCATTTTTTTAAAAAGAGCTTGTGTGTAAGTGGGAATAATTCTAAGGAACATGAAAACACTGGCACAGTGCTGTGCTGCCCGGTGTGTAGGGCGCCTTCACACAGCTGTCTCCTCTGCCCCTTGTTCTCTAAAGGAGGCAGGCAGGGATCACCACGCCTGGGTGACAGGTGTGGCAGGAGGAGCCAGCCTGGACAGGGATGAGGCCCCCCCAGCACAGGGCTCTTGTCTTCCCAGTGCCCTCAGCCGCCCTCTGCCCACACCCATGCAGCCTGCTCTGCACAGCAGTCATCCCTAGTGGTGGTCAAATGCCTCGGTGAAAATCTTCTAGCCACTTGCAGACAAGAGAGGAACAGACATCTCCCTTCATTGGACAGGGCAGGGGACAGTCTCAGTAACCAGCCCACCCACAGCATCCAGGGAGACATGTGAAGAGAGGGAGCAAGGTAGGGCGGGGATGGAGAGCTGGGGCCTCTTCGTGCCAGGAGAGTCTTTCTCTTGGATGCCATTGGCAAGAGACTCACCCTGCGGGCAGCCAGATGGTGAGGATGCAAAATCAGGATGTTCTGGGCTGGGGGGGAGGGGGGAGATTGGCCCTGAGCTTCCGTGGGTCAGTGAGCATGGGTGAGAGACCAAGACAGAGAAACCACAGGAGGTAAAGGCAAAGGCAGAGAGACAGAGAGAGAGGAGGGCACGAGATATCTAAACTTCAACTGCTATCTGCATGCAAATGTTCCCCATGGACCTGACTGGTGTGGCTCAGTTGCTCGGGTGTCATCCTACAAAGCAAAAGGTTGCCGGTTCAATTCCCGGTCAGGGCACATGTCTGGGTTGTGGGTTCAGGCCCTGGTCAGAACATGTATGAGAGGCAACTGATTGATGTTCCTTTTTCACACCAATGTTTCTCTCCCTCTCTTTTTCCCTCTCTTCCCCTCAAGAAAGAAAAAAGGAAAGAGAGGGGACTTCCAGCAAGATGGAGGCATAGGTGGACACACCGTACCTTCACACACAACCAAGATTATAACAACAACAATTTAGAGGCAGAATAACACCTAGAACTGATAGAGAATTTATCTGAATGGAAGTCGGACAGCCAAGAAGTTGAAGTAGACCCATTTATCCAGACCGGTGGGAGGGACAGAGACGAGCGTGGGTTGCAGCGTGTGGAGTGTGGGGAGAGCTGGGCGCCTAAGGCAACCAGGAGCGAGTAAGCCATCCGGGGCACGCAGCAGGTGGACCCTGAGTACGCAAGCGGCAATGGGCAGACCCAGTGAAGCTGCGACTGTGGACCAGGGTGGAATGCGCAGCCCAGGATCCCAGGGAAGGGACTGAGATCCCAGGAGAGTGGGGCTGCCACCATTGTTCCCTCCCATTCCCGCCCCCGCCCCCGCCCCCACTTACAATGTCACAATCTAGCGACTGGGGTGCCCAGCCCCAGTGAACACCTAAGGCTCCGCCCCTCACCGTAACAAGAGCGACCAGACCAAAAAAAAAGAGAGAGAGAGTGATGGCTCAAATAGAAGAACAAATCAGTGCCCCAGAACTCATCCTTTTGAGCAACCAAGAAATAGCTAACCTATCAGATGCACAGTTCAAAACACTGGTGATCAGGAAGCTCACAGAATTGGCTGATTTTGGGTGCAAATTACATGAAAAAATGCAGGTTACCATAGAAGAGATGAAGGAAGATGCACAGAGAACCAACAGTGATGGGAAGGAAACTAGGACTCAAAACAATAGAGTGGACCAGAAGGAAGAATAAAAAAACCCAAACAGGAAATCATGAAGAAATAAGAATTCAAAAAAACAAGGAGAAGCTTAGGAACCTCCAGGACATCTTTAAATGTTCCAACATCCGAATTATAGGGGTACCAGAAGGGGAAGAGGAAAAGCAACAGATTGAGCAAGTATTTGAACAAATAATAAAGGAGAACTTCCCCATCCTGGCAAAGGAAATAGACTTCCAGGAAATCCAGGAAGCTCAGAGAGCCCCAAGGAAGTTGGACCCAAGAAGAAACACACCAAGGCACATCATCATTACATTAGCCAAGGTAAAAATGAAGGAGAGAATCCTAGAAGCAGCAAGAGATAAGGGGACAGTAACCTACAAAGGAGTTCCCATCAGACTGTCAGCTGATTTCTCAAAAGGGACCTTACAGGCAAGAAGGGGCTGGAAGAAATATTCCAAGTCATGAAAAACAAGGACCTATATCCCAGATTACTCTATCCAGCAAAGCTTTCATTTAGAATGGAAGGGCAGATAAAGTGCTTCTCAGATAAGGTCAAGTTAAAGGAGTTCATCATCACCAAGCCCTTATTTTATGATGTGTTAAAGGGACTTATCTAAGAAAAGAAGATAAAGAAAAAACATGTATAGTAAAAGGACAGCAAACTCACAATTATTAACAATCACACCTAAAGCAAAACCAAAAGAAACTAAGCAACCAACTAGAACAGGGACAGAACCACAGAAATGGAGATCACATGGAGGGTTAGCAGCAGGGGAGTGGGAGGGGAGTGGGAGGAAGAGAGAGGGGGAAAAGGTACAGAGAATAAGTAGCATAAATTGTAGGTTGAAAATAGATAGGGGGAGGGTAAGAATAGTATGGGAAATGTAGAAGCAAAAGAACTTATAAGTATGACACATGGACATGACTAAAGGGGGATATGGGTGGGAGAGGGTGTACAGGGTGGAGGGGAGTGAAGGGGGGGAAATGGGACAATTGTAATAGCACAATCAATAAAATATATTTAAAAAAAAGAAAGAAAGAAAAAGAAAGAAAGAAAGAAAGAAAGAAAGAAAGAAAGAAAGAAAGAAAGAAAGAAAGAAAGAAAGAAAGAAACTTTTAAAAAAATATATGCTCGCTATGTATTGAACAGCACTGACTGCTGTTCTTGAGATTCAGGCACCCGGTCCCCCTGATGTGCCCTCGAGGCGCATTCATCTGCTGATGGCCCAGGGCGGTGAGGCCTGGAGAGCAGGTCAGCCAGCCAGCGGAGAGGCCAGAGGGTAGAAGAAATGCCAGGGTTCAGGGTCGAAGGTGTGGTTAGTGGCTAATCGTGCGGGCAAGTTATTTTGTTGAGTCTCAGCTTTCTGGGCTATAAACATGGGAGCTGAGAGCACTTCTCAGGGTTGTGGTGAAAATCTAAAGATCCTACACCGTGTCCAGATTAGGTAGAAGCTCAAGTCCATAATTGTGTGTGTGTGTGTGTGTGTGTGTGTGTGTGTGTGTGTGTGTTTACTGACAATGGATGAGGCTGTCCCTGGACCCTGTGTGTGTCCCAGCTCCGGAGTGGGCCCTGCTGTCACTGTTTGGGAATTCTCAGAAAATCGTCAGATGCTTTCCTGGTGATGACGCACAGATGGCTCCCTGAGCCCTTTACCTGTAGCAAGCCAAGATGTGGAAGAGATAGCTCACGCACGTGAGGGCGGCCGGCAGGATGGTAGCCACCCAGACTCCTGAAACAGAAAAGGTGACAGGAGGGGCCTCTGAAGATGAGCCAGAAACAGTGTTTTCCGGATGCAGAAACTCACATCAGAAGGGGCTGGGAAAAATATATTACACATCCTTTAACACATTTCTTGTGTAAATGCAGTTTTGCTTATATGTTTCTGTTTCATTTTAGCCACACACACCCTGGAAATACTTTATTTCCTACACAATCCTCTCCTTTGGTATTAATATTTTCAATCCCGTGAGTAATGGGAAGAGAACATTATGGCACATATACTTTGTAGTAGCTTCCATCCTTATAAAACTTCACTGAACTAATTGCCAATTTTGGGGGGTAGTGACCTGCCTGCAGTTAAACAGCAACTACATGCAATGATGGGTTTACCTTTGGAGATGTTCATCAGCTCCTTCATCTGCAGGATGACCGGGGCCAGGGTCCCCATCTGGTTCATGGAGGCAATGTAGCTCTCCAACTCCCCTTCCAACACATCCAGCTTCTCTCTCACGTACACGAACACGCAGAACTCAATGACAATGAACTGGGGACACAGAGCAAACATTTCAAAGTCTCCCCTGAGTCCGGCTTTTGCCTAGTATGTGAATCACAGATGGGTCTCTCTTGGGTTTTGAGGTTAAAACTCTTTGAAGTTCAACATTCATCTGAACTACACTCTGGACACAGGCTATACTGAGATGAATGGGACTGTGGCTTTTTTGTGGCTGGGAGACACCCCAAACTCTGTTCTTCCCCCTACAGCACGCAAGATGAGGCCCCCAAGGGGTCAAAGAACTCTTTAAACATTAGTTAAATCAGAGTGAGATGCATGTCTAATGTTAAGTAAGGGGTCACCTTGGGGACAATGCCAGTCATCTCTGTCGTTGTTCCACTTCTGGCACCTCAGTGACAATCAAAGGGAAGAAGGCAGCACACCCTGTACACGGGTCATGCTTGCTCGTCCCCATCATCCAGCCAGCAGGCTCCCCACTATCGCGCCATCACTTCTAGAGTTCCCGCTGCCATTTACTTCACCAGCTGAACCTTGTTCATCTCTGAACATGGAGCTCCAATGCCCCCGTCTTCAGGCAGTTCTGAGTGTAGAACCATTCATTCCACATCCAGAGCACACTCGCCTTTCTTTTGTCTCGCTTTACATGGCAGGTGCTTTCTGCCACATCTCACCTCCTTCTCTCAGACCACGGCCTCCTCCCAGGCCAAGACTCTGCTAGATCAGCTCCCCTCACTTCCAGGTGTTAGCATAGTGCCTGGCATCGTGAATGCCCAATAAAGACTTAAGAAACATAACTCCAAGTGAATTATCCACTGTCGAGGAGAACTCTAGTAGTCCATTAAAACCTATTCTCCCATTCTCTGGGCAGACAGCTAGATGACATTTCCCAGCCTCCCTTGAGTTAGTGTGGCCACATGACAATGTTTTTGCCAATGGAAAACGGCCTTTGCAAACCTCCCGCGTGCATTTCTCCTGCACTTTCCCCTTCTGCTGACTGGACGTAGATGGCGAGGGTTTTCGGGGATGAAGATGCACAGGATGGAAGGATCTGGGTAATGGAATAACACACGGAGGACTGCTGCCTCCCAAACCTGAACACCCACCCACTCTCCACGGTTATGTGGGCAAGACGAGACAGAGTGTTAAGTCACTAAGATGTAGGGATTTATGTGGTACTTCAGCACAACCTAACTGACAGTCACTTAAAATGTAACCATAGGATTAATTTATATGGGTATCATCTTTGCACATTTAAAATGAGCAGGCGCCAATGTGGTCTCCCCATTTTTATTCCTCCATTTTGACCCTGCTTTCAACCCAGACAGTTTACCTTGCATAAATTTGACCACATGAAATGTTTTGATTCTACGCTTAATAAAATATATACTGACCATTGAAGCCTGAATTACGACAACAGTTACAATGTTTTGATGAGGAAGCAAACTTAAATAGGAGCAAAATGAAATAAGACATTTTAATTTCTGATCCTTTTTTGAAATATAGTACTGTAAGTTTATCCATTTTTATTTTGAATTCACTACAATTATTTATCAAGATTGATTATTCTATATTTAAATGACATGATTTTATTTGGCTAAGTAACAAGTATAACATAACATTGTCCTTAGCTCTGCTGCAATAAATGTTTTGTAGAACTCACCAGTGAACCCATCTGGGCTTGGTGCTTTCTATTTAAAAAGTCAATATTCATTGATTTAACTTCTTTAATAGCTTTAAGCCTATTCAGATTGTCCATTCCTTCTTGTGTGAGCTGTGGCAGATTGTATCTTTCATCTAGGTTATCAAATTTGGGGACACAGAGTTGTTCATTCTATTTCTTTATTACTCTTTTAATGTCCATGCAGTCTGTAATGATGTTCCCCCTTTCATTTCTGGCATGAGTAATTTGTGTCTTCTCTCCTTTTTTCTTAGTCTAGCTAGAGGCTTTTGATTTTATGATTTCAAAGACCCTGCTTTTGATTTCATTGATTTCCTTTATTAATTTCCTGTTTCAATTTCATAGGTTTCTGCTCTAAGTTTATTATATCTATTCTGCTGCCTACTTTGTATTTAATTTGCCCTTCTTGCTTAGTTCCTGAGGTGGGAGCTTAGAGACCGATGTGGATCTTCCTTTATTTCTAATTCATACATTCAATGCTGCACATTTCCCTCTAGGCACTGCTTGTGCTGCCTCCCACAAATCCTGTAAGTGTGTTTTCATTTTCACTTAGTTAATTTCATTTTTGTTTATTTTTAATTTCTCTTGAGGTTTTTCTTTATCACCCACAGTTACTTAGAGGTGTGTTGTTTAATTTCCACTATTTTGGAATTTTCCAGTTATCTTTCTGTTATTTATTTCTAGTTTAATTCTACTGTGGTCTAAAAGCAGACATTGAATAATTTCTATTCTTTTAAATTTGTTACAGTCCTCTCAGATATCCAACTGTGGATATCAAGGGACCAGTTTGAAGTTCAGGAGTGAGGTCTGGGTGGAGATACAAACTTGGGAATCATTGTGATATAGAGGGTGAGGACTTGAAGTCATGAAGCTGAGTAAGAATAAAAGAAATTGGAAAAAAGACACCAAAGACTAAGCCTCGGGACACTGCAACATGCAGAGGTCTGGGAGGAAAGGAGGGAAAGCGGTGGAGGCTGGGGAAGTGCTGTATTTTGAGATGAGAAATAAACCAATAGTTTTTGTTGTTGTTGTCCTGGAAGCAAAATAAAGAAAATGCATCAAAATAAAAATATAGTGATAAAAAAATTGTTACAATGCGTTTTATGACCCAGGATTTGATCTATCTTGGTGAAATTTCCATGTCATCTTGAGAAAAATGCGCATTCGACTCTTGTTAAGTAGCCTATGAATGCCCAAAACTCCAGTTGATTGACTGTGTCAATTACAGTTCAGATTTCCCTCCCTCGGTGTGGGGTCCCATGGGGTGTCTGCTCCACCTGGTTGTCATTCTCTGTACCCTCCTGTCTGCCTCTTCAACTCAGGGGCCATGCTCTGCCCTGTAACCTCCCTTCTCTTACGGATCTAAGAGTTGTTGATTTCTTTCAGTTTGTTTTGATTTTCATTTGTCATTGGGATGGAATGGCTTTTTTGCAAGCTCTTTATATGTGGAATTAGCAACCAGAAGTCTCCATAAATAATCTGATTATAATTTATTAGTAATATTCACCCTGTGGATAAAAGCGTGCTTGGAGTCAAAATTGTTTGGTCAAAGAACTATACTTCTTTGACTTAGAGAGGTTCAATTTTGAGCCAGCTTTTTAAGAACAACCTCCCCCCCAGCCCCACCCCATTTACACAACAGAAAAGGGTTTGCTTAGGTCTACTCACCAGGTACAGGCAGATGAAAGCCAGCACCACAGTTCCGATCATCCTGCTGGGGAACTGAAAGCAGGGGTCCCACTCGTAGATCCTGGTTTGGAACCAAGACTTTTTTCCCTCGCTGTCAATGAGTAAACACCAAGAAAAGACAGGCTGTGGTTGGTAAACAGATGCCTGATTCTTCTGAAAAATAACGTCATCTCCTCCTCTTCCTCTTAGATTTTAGTGAAGAGAAAGAACACTGGCTGATTCCACAGTTTTCATTCTCCCCTTATCCTTAAGAACAGAGATTCAGTTTTATTTAGTGTGGCAATTCACCAAACTAAAAGCCTATAGTTTCAGACCTTTCTTACAGCTAAGAGTGACCCAGGCTAAATACAGGCCATTAGATGTGACCATTGGGACAGTGTGGGACTTCGGGGAGGGTGCTTAGATAGAATCAACACAGCTGGGAGGGATCTCCAAGGCCCTTCTTTCTTTCCTCCCACCTGCCATCGGAAATGCTGACAGAGTGGCTGGTCCAGGCTGGAGCCCCGGAATCCACCTGGGACCATGGGCAGCCTTCATGGTAGAGACCACGAAAATACTGAAGCAGAAAGACAGGTGGGTTGGTAAACTGCCATGGAGAGCTGTCCAGAGTTAGTATGGACTGTAGCCTCCAGAATTCTTTCATGTGAGAGGTACATCTCTCTCATCTGTGCCACTACTATTTTGTGGTTTTTGCTACATGTAGCCAAGTATAGTTCTAACGAAAATACTAGCTTTGCCACTGAGACTCTGAATTAGAAATGTGCCTTCTCAGGTGTATATTTTCTGGTGCGGAGCGGCAGTGGCAGGGGTAGGGTGACGACTACAGTCCCTGAAGATCACGTACTTTCCTGGCCAAGAGCTATGTATCGGTAAGGGCATATGCGTTTTTCTCGGAATGGACTCCTTTGCCACCAGCAGTCCTAGTGGTCAAGTGAGGCTGAACTACTTCCTCATTCCAGGGGTAGACATGGGACCCTGTCTTCACAATCACTTTACTCCAGTCCCCTAGCTGCAGTAACTGGTTCTGGAGTGGCATTTGGTCCAGTTTGATCCAACAGGACTTCAGTTTGAATCATTAGGTAGGAAAACTTATCTTTCCTGTGAGCTTAAACCAGGAGGGTATAAGATTAGAGATTCTGGGGTCCATCAGTGGGAGGGGGTCCATCGGTGGGAGAGGTCCATCAGTGGGAGAGGTCCATCAGTGGGAGGGGTCCACTGGTGGGAGGGGTCCACCGGTGGGAGGCAGCCCATCTAACCCGAAGGCTGACCCAGGTAAGTGCAGAGCCAAGAGCGGAGGAGGGACAGAGACCGAGTTCTGATGACAGTAATAAAGCCCTGGGTCCATCTGTGTTTGAAACCGACGGCCACAGGACGTTCAGATTACGTAAGGCCATCCGTTTCCTTTTTCTCTCCCATCCCGGGTAAGCTGAGCTTCTGTCATTAATGCACAAGAGCGCTAACTAATCCGGAGCACTGCGGTCATCCTCGGGCCCCAGGCTGTCGGGCCGCCTCAGCACTGGCACACACAGAGCGGAGACCGACCGGGACCGGGGCTTACTGCAGGGGCGGCTTCCTCAGGAGCTGCTTCACATGCTCTGCCTGGTGAATTTCCAGGAAAGGCTTTTCTTCCTGTGAGCAAAGAGAGAGGGAGATGCTTTGGCTCACAAATTCCTGTTAAGGCTTTGGTCTCTCTGAGGGGCTACAGCCACAGAGGGCCGGAATTTGGGCAGAACCTGCTCCTTTGGAGTCAGGCATTCCCAGACGCCTGTTGTTTAATGAAGAGAAGGGCAGGGTCCAGGCCACGTCTACCAAGCACCCCCTTTCCTCAATGCCGGAGGTCTGGCCCTCCTCCACTCTTCTGCTTGCTGACGGCACCAGCCGCTGCTCTGCGAGGTCCTTCGTCTCTTTGAGATCTGGTGATTTCCCATCACACTTCAAAACATCGCTTCAGGAATGAAGCTCCCCAAATCCCGGTGTTTTCACTTCTCATGAACAGGAGGAGTTTCTTTTGCTCATTTTTAATTTTGCAGTACTTAATAAAACAAACTTTAATGGTGTGTTTTAAAATGTTTTCTCCAAGTGTAACGAGCTTTCCATAATAGTTACGATTTTGCCACATATGTTGAATATGGAAATTTTACACGCTATGAGATGAGATCTTAGATGTTGCAGATGTTGGGGAGAGTACGAAGGACCTGGTTAGAACCCTGACTGGTAAGTGACACCAACAGGATGGAGGAATAGGGGCCCACTCTGATACACCAATTTTCACAGCCATGCACAGATGAGAGTACCTTTGTGGTCATGCAACAATGCACCTGGGAGGTTCCAGAACCCCAGTGAAAGCAAAACCTCTGCGAATAGAAGCACTGAAGAGGGTAGGAAGAGCCGTTTCACCTTACCTGTGTTGCCTGTCCTCCGAGGTGGCACAGCCAGTGCACAGAGAGGCCCCTCCCTGGCCTGCAAACCCTCCCACGAGGGAAAGTGAGAGGAAGGTGCAGGGGTTTTCTATGCAATTAAAGTAAGTTGTTATGGATTGGTATGACTGTAAAATGTTTTATATAAGCCACATAGTAATGACAAAGGAAAACCTGTTTTCTATTAAATAAAAGGTAAAGAAAATAGAATCAAAGAATAATACCACTACAAAAACAAGAAATCATCACCACACAGAGAAAGCAAGAAAGAATTTAAAAAAATCATCAGAAAGTTAACAAAATGGCAATTTTAAGTCCTTACCTATCAGTATCTTTAAATGTAAATGGATTAAATTTTCTAATCAAAAGATGTAGAGTAGCTGAATGGATTGAAAAAACTACAAATACAGGCTACCAATAGGGGACTCACTTCAGCTTTAAGGAAACACATGGGGAGTGAAGGGGATTGGAAAAAGGTATTTCATACAAATGGTAACCAAAACAGAGCAAGGATGGCTCTACTATATGAGAAGAAAATAGACTTTCGGTCAAAAAGTGTCACAAGAGACAAGAAAAATCACTATGTAATGATAAAGGGGTCAATTGCTCAAGAAAATGTAACAATTGTAAATATATGCACACTCAATACCACAGCACCTAAATACATAAAGTATTTGTTAATGAAACTGAAGGGATAAATATGCAGCAACATAATGACAGTAGAATCTCAACACCACACCTTCAACAATGGACAGAGAGTCCAGTAAGAAAATCAGTATGGAAGCAGCAGACTAGAACAGCACTATAGATCAAATAGAACAAATAAACATATACAGAACATTCCACCCAACAATAGCACAATATATAGTCTTCTTAAGAGCACAGGGACCATTCTCCAGGATAGATCACGTGTTAGGCCACAAAACAGGTCTTAACAAACTTAAGTATCGAGTATCTTTTCTGACCACAATGGCATAAAGATGGAAATCAACAACAGGAAGAAAACCGGGAAATTCACAAATGTGTGGATGCTAAACAACGCACTCCTGAGCAACCAATGAGTCAGAGAAAAAAACCAAAAGGGAAATAAAAAATTATCTTAAAACAAATGAAAATAGAAATACAACATACCAAAATTTGTGGAATGCAGCAAACACAGTTCTAAAGAGGGCAGTTTATAGTGGTAAACGCCTACATTAACCAAAAGGAAGACCTCAAACTAACAACTGAGCTTTATCCCTCAAGGAATTAGAAAAAGAACAGTGGTCAAGACAGAGCCCCGACCAGCAAACTGTGTGCACTGCTGTTCTGGCTCTGATGCAGACGAGGTACGTGGCCTTGGCCAGCAGGATGCGCCTCTCTGGGCCCGGGTTTCCTGCTACAGAGTGGGAGGAGTAATCCTGGTGCCCGCCGCACAGGACTGCTGTGAAGACCACCCGTCAGGACACGCACGGCGCTTGCGTAGGACTCACCGTCTGCAGCTCCCAGCCCAGGCGGACCCTCAGAGACTTGACGGACATGTACAGGAATCGGCCCAGCAGGAAGGACAGGCACAGCAGTGAGGGCCAGTAGAACATGACGGCCTCGAACCTCCCCAAAAACTGCAACAGAAGCAGACCGCTGGGCACTGAGGCTAGACGGGGCAGGGCCAGGCCCCTGGAGAAGCTGTGGACAGGAGCCTGCCCACCTGCCCCAGGCTGCTCCCTCCAAGGCCCACTCTCTCAGAGCTGGGTCCCTGCTCCCCCGGCCCCACGGCATGGGAATAAGCAGTGGACTTGGAGTCCGGAAGCCCTGGATCTGAGTCCTAGCACCCCCATTTTCTCTTATATGAAGGGCTTTCATGGCTTTTTTTTCTGATTTGGTATTTAAATGCTTCTTTTAGATAACACAGAGAGAAGGGGGACAGTGGAGGGGAGAGGAGAAAGAAAGGGAATGAAAGGGGAGAGGGAGAGAGAGACATCTTGCTTCTTTCCTGGGGTATAGGGCTAAACAGAGGAACCAGTTTGCATCAGTTCTGAGAAGGACAGCGCATGGAAAAGCTGGAAGGGGTTCATCTTACCCAAGCCTCCCATTAGCAGACAGAGAAACTGAGGCTACATGAAGGAGAGGAAGTGAGCTCCGGAATCAGCCAGACCTGGTCTCAATGCCCTGGTCTCAAAGTCCCAGCTCTGCTGCTTCTTCAGAGTTACTTCATCTCTTTGGGCCTCAGTTTCCTCACCGATAAAGTAGGTTTGCTAAGAGCTTCCCCACCTTGAGGGGTTGCTGTGGGCATTAACTGAGAGAACGTCAGTCTGTGAATCAGCACCCTGATGAGCGTTAAGACCCTGTACAATGGAAGTTTCGTGAATGGCTCCAGCTCCCTTCTGTACGCGGGAGGAAGCTGAGGCCCACAGAGTAGCAGAGGCTTGTCCAAGGTCACACGGAAAGGCCATAATGATAGGACAGAACACCCTAAACATAGCTCAGTGGGGACTCACCCGTCCATGGGGACACTGTGTGATGTGAAGGACAGTGACAGCAAACCTGCAGGAGAGAAGCAGGGCTTGGGGTGCTGCCAGCACAGCCCCTGGGACCACAGCCCAGATCCCACCAGGCAGGAGCAACCTCCTTGACAGCGCCGGTCCCCAGGCCTCCGTGTATTTCCCACACAGACCGGGTGCCCTGCTTGTGCCTGAGTACATGCGACAAAATGCATTTGATGCCCTCGACTCAGACACAATCCCAGACCCACAACGGCAGAGCAGGGAGACCCTGAGAGATCTCATCCTCCCTCCCCCATCACTCATGCAGGTGGGGAGACTGAAGGCCAGAGATGGGAAGGGATTTGTCCGGAGTCACCCCCAGAGCCAGGACCACGACGCGGGGCTCTGGACTCGGGCTGAGGTCCTTCTGCCCAGACATGCTCCTGTCTGTAAACACTGCCCCGAGGAGGGAGCCTGGAGGCTGAGCTCTTGCTGAACACACACTCCTGGTCGTGTTCAAGCTTGGGTCCTACTCCCGCGGTGCCCAGATCTCCTGCCACATGATTCCTGCCACTCTGTCCTCTCCTGGCCAAAAAGTCTGTCACAGGCTAAGATATTACTCCATACCCAACGCTGAATACCTTCTCTTTTAATTTTTTTTCAAGCCAGCCACTTACACACTTTGAGATTGCAGCCATTCAAGTGCCAGTCACTGTCAGCCCCCTGTATGGCTCATACCCCGGGCCTGAGGCCCCTGCCCAGAGAGGAGACATGGGCAAGGAAACGGGCCTGTCAGAACTGGAGCGTGGACCTGCCACAGGACTGTCCAGTTGGCACAGGCTCCCTGGGCCAGGTCTGGGCTGGGGTCTGGTGCCAGTGATCAGGGCACGGAGCTCAACAAAAGGGCCAGGGGCGCCCACCTGGGAGGGCGATAATGCACAGAGGAGGAGCAAATACTTGTCCCTGGGCCAGGCGGGGGAAGATAATCCCCAGGGGAAGAGCAACATGCAGACAAAGTGGCCAGAACACATGATCACGAGGGTCTGTCTTGTTTTCCAGTACATTCCCTGGCTGCTGGGGAGATGTCCCAGTTGTTTGCTGAATGAATAAGCGGATGGATGGAGGAACGTAGGAGTTTTACATGACTTGCATGTGTGCCAGAGACAGGTCAGGGGGCAGGGAGACACAGTAGAGACCAGGACGGCCCTGAAGGCCCAGCCGAGACACATGCACTTTCTCCTGGGCTCTGGGGAAGCCACGACAGCACAGAGGAGGGGCACCCACACAGGACTCCTGCTTCCACCAGTGGGACTGTCTCGGCAGTTTACAGAAATGAACTTTTCTACATCTCTGAGCACTAGGACTATTTGAACCATGAATGGCCTCTTGTGAGGTAGACAGAATGCTGGCCTGACCTTCTGGGTCCTCAAGTGCAGTCCCAAGGAGAGGCCACAGGGGACCATGGAACAGTCACTCCTCCTGCCCTGGGCCCAAGTTCTGAGCAAAGGTGCCCTCCCAGGGACAGCTCTCAGGTCACCTCCAGCCCTTTGTCCAGGGTTCAGCAGTGGCCTAAAGAATTACAGGAGGGCAGGCAGACAGAGTCCATCTTACCAGATCAGGGAGTAGCTGAAGCCCAGGATGGAGCTGACCAGCCGGAACTCTGATGAGAGGCAGGCAAAGAAGGGGAAGTGGGACAGGCCGACTTCGATGCCTCCGATGAGAAGCACAAAGGCTGGGAGAGACAGGGCCAGAGATGCTGTGAGTGCCTCTTCTCACGGGCTCGGGCAAGTCCGGGGGAAGCTATGGGGCTTTGCGCTGGCTTGTAGTCACGGAGCTCAGGACCAAGGAGATGAGTGGACATGCCCCAGCTCAGCACAAGGAGGAATGCAGGGATGACTTTCATTCATTCCTGCGACAGACCCTTCCTGGTACCTCTTCCGTGCCAGGCACGAGGCTGACTACAGAGGCAAAGAAGACCTGCTCCCTGCCCTTGACTGTCTCACAATATAGTGTGTGGAACAAACAAGAACATAAAAGAACAAACAAGAATTACTGAGAGAAAACTGGTTGGACAGAGAGGTTTGGAAGTTGTCATTTTAAGGATGGTCAAACCTGTAGATTAAAGTTGCTACTCCAGGGAAAGCATGAGGCGTGGAGAATGAAGAGGCCCCAGACCAGTGGCCAGAGAAGATGTATTCTTTGAGGGAGTATCAGCCACGGCTATGTCTCAGGAGAGATTTTCAGGGTGGGTGGTGGCGAACCTGCTTGGAGCCTTTGCCCTGCTAGGTCTAAAGGATCTCTGAATTGAACTGGGAGAAAGCTCCCACAGACAAGCTTCGATGCTGGACAAGTAACAGGCTGGGAAGAACACTTGAGTTCACCAAGCTTACCCCTGCTGGTCCCAGCGAACCCCTGTCATGCTGTCTCTGACAGCAAGGATTCCCACCGTTAAATTCCCAACATGATGAGTCAGCCCTGGTACCTTGGGCCCACTGCGGGACCTGCAGGGGCTGGTAGCCTTCTGCGAACAAGAACATGACCTTATTGGCTGTGGCCCCAAAGGCGATTCCATAGGACCATCGGTTACTAAAAGTGCCCACGAAGTCCAGAGGTCTGTGAACAAGAGAAACAGCTCATGAGGCCAGACAGACGGTGGCTCTGAGACACCCCCAGAGTACCAATCCCACCCTGAGGATGCATGACTGGGGAGTGAACTATTCATTTCAACTGACACTTTCTTAGGCCCTCTGCTGGAGCTAGGCATGGATGCAGGGTACTGAAGTGAAGAGGACAAAATTCTTTCCACTGAGATGCTCCAAGTCTAAGAAGATTCAAACAAGGACACCAGTAGCTATGACAACGAGCAAAAGAGGATGAGTTTTATCTATGAGAGACACAGGTGGTATGACTTGAGAGACCAAAACAAAGAGTATGTCCCAGCAGGCATGGGAGAACTTGCCCCGCACCAGCCAAGGTCTGTGAGAGTTCTTTCCAACGTTCCCGGGAAGGCTTGGGTATCACTGGCTGTGCTGGTTCATGCAATCACACCTTCCTGGCCACAGCTGACTGGACCATGGGTGACCACCTGACTTTAGATGAACCAATTAGATGTCTGGTCTTATATTTTGGATTTGTGGCCCCAAGGACATGAGCCAATCTGCTGTTAATATTCTGTTCTAGAAGGTCATGCAAGCTGGGATCAGAGTCAGTGCTAGAGGCAAGCTGAGGCTTTGGGAGGTGGAGATCCTCAGTCAGGTGGCAGAGAGGAAAATGGAAAATGGTGCGTAGGGTGCCCCAGTGACACAGAGAGGCAGAAATAGAGATCAGTCTCCCAGATCTGCCCATCTCAAAAGCCCCAATTCCCGTAAATCTGTCCTTGCCGTTTCTGGGAGATCTCTGTAACTTTATAAAAATTCTATTTTTTCCTTTTATGTAAAAAGCTTCACTGGATATCTGCTTCTTCTAATTGAAAGAGATTAGTCTACAGGGGAACAAGCAATTGCACCCAGGAAAGAGAGGACTGGCTTGCCCACGAAGTGCTGCCTGAAGCAGCCCTCAGCGGAGACTCGGGGCAGTGTGAAGAGCGATCTCACTTTCCTGAGCCGTCTGCCTCTCTCTCCGTCACCTTCGAGGACCAGCTCAAGAAACACCTCTCGTCTGAAGCCCTCCTGACCACCCACTCCCAGCCGGGCGTGCCTCGAGACTGCCTCGTCAGTGTCCCCTCAGCATGAAGCCCATGCCCGTGTTCCCACACCTTCCTTAGTGTCAGCACTTGTCCCATAAACCACCACCTCCTCCAGGGGTGGGGGCCCTGAGCACAGGAGCTGGAAGAGACTAGGTGCTCACTGCACATTCACAGACACCCCCTTGTTAAGCTGAGTTGGATTCTAATAGGTCTCACCTGTGGTACTTAAGCGCTCTGTAAGACTCAGTTTCCCTATATGTAAAGCAGAGATGGAAACCCCTGCTCTGCCGAATCACAGAGCCATCCTGGACTGCGAGTGAAGAATGGCTTTACAAGCTGTGGAATGCCACACACATGTGAGGGCTGATTAATGAGCGGAGACGGTGAGCCAGGACTACTCAGAAAATCAGAGGTTTTGATGGCCACGGAGTAAGTGAATTGTACCACTGACAATTTAATTCAAAGCTCTTTAACGGGGCCCTTACAGAGTTCCTACTTCTTAACAAGTCAGGCACCAGGCCAACATGCCAAATGTTCAGGGCAGGGTCTGAAGATCCTCTTTACCCACTGGCCTGTTTTTCTCTGTGCCCCAGCCAACGTGGCTTAGACCGGGCACCCTGGGTGGGGCCGGCTGCTCCAGCAGGTGGGAACCAGAACGAGTGTGCTGCTCGGTGCTGGCATCACAATCCTTCTATACTGCAGTCGGATTTCCCTCGCCCCGAAGCCCAGGTCACCTCTAGCCTTGGTCCTGACTTCCAGTATGCCTCTCCCTTCTCCAGAGGCCAAAGCTGAGGTCTCAGCATGTCCGCATGCTTGAGCTTAGGTTAAGACACTGGGGGAATCAGAGCAAGTATCAACCAAACCTGGGTTAAAGCTCCTGTCACTTAGTGAGCTGTGTGGCCTTGGGCAAGTCACTTAACCTCTCTGAGCCTGTCTGCTCACCCATTACATGAGGATAACAACCTCCGCCATGCTGGGCTGGCAAGAGGGTTCATCCAAGTAAACTAGGCAAAGCAAATGGTTCAGTGCGTAGGTCATAACTGCTGTGCAATAAATGTTAACTGCTTTATCATAATTATGAGAAATATTAATAAATACTAACAAAAATGATGAAGAGTAAGATCTAATGAATGATTAAGGTCTATGAACAATCAGATCTTAAGGGAAAATGTGGTGAGGGGTGCACAGCCTCACAATGGCAGAGCTAGAAAGGCCCTGAAAGCTCCCCGGTCCAGTGGGCTTCCCTGGGGTGGGCGTACCTCACAGTGCCATCCCACAAGAAGGCTCGCTGCCTCCTGCTTCCCAAGGCAGCCATAGGCTTCATGTGGGAAGGCCTTTCCCACAGTGTTCGGGGCCTCCTTGAGATGTTTTAAGCAAGTGTGAGCAGCCTTAGGTGCCTTGGGTGCAATGGCTTGGATACCAGTTCTGAACTCTCAGAGCTCGGTTTGGGTTGGGGCAGGGAGGACAAGGGCTGTCCACAGTGAGGCAGAGGTGGGGTGGGGGAGGTAACTCGGGGTTACCCTGGCCTGACAGTTGGGGTTGGCCCCAGTCACCTGGTACCACAAGCTGTAGTGGTCAGCTCTAGCTCAACTCACATGATGATTCCAAAGTGGTCGCTCAGGAGGTAAGAAGTGTCATCTCTCTGTCTACAGTGCTCCCGTCTTTGGAGAAAGGACAAGACCAAAATGATGCACAACTACAGGAAGAAAAGATGAGAGGGTCACTGGGACTATTCGTCCTCGGTGCAGACTTGGTCCCCACCCTGAAAGAGATCGTGTGGGTGAGCAGCGCGCTCACTGTGCATATACTCCTCAAACGCCAGGGGCACAGAGCTGGCTGCACGCACCCCGGGGCTTCCAGAACGTTTTGTAATGAGCTTTCCTTTGGGTTGCTTGGAGCAGACATGAGTCCAAACCTAGTCTCCCACAGACTGGCTGGGAAGGGACTTGTTGGACTCTCAGTTTCCTCATCTGTAAAGAGGCGATAGCAACTATCAGGCTGCACATCCTTTTTGCTTTTTTCCTGTGGATTCAGTCATTTTCTCACATACTGGAGGTCCTTTTCTCTCCACCTTTACTAGAGACTTCTTGAGACCTGTCTACACGTGCTGACTCTGTTTCTTTACTTCTCACTTGCTCTTCGAGTCTCTAACCTGGCTTCCCATCACTCCATGGTCACAACTCTGGCCAAAGTCACTAATCACCATCTTGTTGCTGCGTCCAATGTAAACTTGAAGTTCAAATCTGGCTGGACCCTTCAGCAGCATTTCTCAGTGTTGGCCACGCCCTTCTCTTAGAAACTCTCTTCCCTAGCCTTCTGAGCTTTTCTGGGTTTTCTTCATTACTTCTCAGTCTGTCTCTTGTTAGACCATTCTTTACCCAACCATGAGATCTGGAGCTCCTCCTAGTTCAGTCCCAGGACACTCATCTTATTACCCGATCCTCTCCTCTGCCATCTGATCCATGTCCATGCTTTCAATGGCCACCAATACACAGAACTCACACACTTGATCTTGAACCCAGACCTTGTCCTTGAGCTCCATAACCGTTCATCCGAATACACAGTTGGCATTTCTTTTTGATGTATTGAAAGATTCTTGAATTCAGTATACCTTAAATGAAACTCATGGTTTTCCTCCCTGCCTTATTCCTTTTTCCACCCCAAATCTGGGTCTCTTCTAACTTTCCTTAACTAGGGAATGGCAGATACCAGCATCCTCCCAGCTATACAAGTCAGAAACCAGAGTCATCCTCAACATCTCCCTCTCCTTCACCTCTCTGTCCAACCCACCACCGTGTCCTGTTGTTTTTCCTCCCAAATGCCTTGAACTGACCTCCATCATCCAGGATGAGCTCAGCTTGCCTCTCACTTGCCTGGACCTCTACAACCATCTCCTAACTGCTCTCCCTGCCCCTGCTTGCTCGCCTCCAACTTAATCCCAGCACTGCAACCAGAGTGCTCATTTCAAAACCACACCACCCTCATGCTGGAAACACTCCATGACTTCCCATTGTGCTGAGAATGGAAACTCCTCTGCACAGAGCCTCACAGAGCTCCTCTGGCCTGGCTCCGCCCACCTCCCTGGATAGCCCCACCCAGTTCACTCCAGCCAACCGGACACCCTCAGTTACTCACACTCTCCAATCCACCCCCCCACACACACACACCACACACACACACGTACACACAGCCTTTGCACGCGCTCTGCCTTCTGCCTGAAATGCTCTTTATTGCATCTTCCAACAGAACTCAGCTCGTTGTTGCTTCCCCTAAAAGCCAGTGTCCCTGAGTCTACGGCCCTTAAAAGACGTCTTCTGCCTGTGTTTTTAGTGCATAATGTAGGAGAGCACATCAAGGAAATTCAGCCCATTTCTCCCTGCTGACTTAGTCAGGCCCCTTTGGGAGCCTGTGCCTGGGGGCAGCCTGGCTCCCACCCCCCACACACCCCATCCCTGCCCTCACTTACTGACGGGATGAGGGAGTAGTGGAGGAAGAGTTCCATGTCCACGGAGCCAACGCAGGAGTCATTTAGCTGCCGTGCCCTGGAAAACAACCAGAAAACATGTGCACACGACCACCCACTGCTGCAGCCGCTGCGCCTTCAGTCTTGACCACCACCACCCTCAGGGGTCTGGCCTGCAGCCCCTACATCCACCTGGTCTTTTCGCAGTTTACTCTCTCACAGCCAGTGCTGCTCATCTGTGATGACCCTTCCCCAAGCGGATTAATCTTTCTGATTTCTTTCCAGTCTCATTATCTGTCCAAACTGCCCCGCTGACTAGATCTAATCCCTTCTTTTCTCGATGACACAGTCAGGGAGAGATTCAGGTTCTGGGGGACCCACAGCCTAAATAATCTGCACATCCTTTTCAAATGAAACTACAAACCCTCCTCCTATCGTAAGGAAAACATATCACCATATAAACACTTAACTAGGGTGAGCCCTCCCAGAGCCTGGGAAGGGCCCCGTGCCACTGAGGAGCCCTGGGGCTTAAGTTACAGTAACTCCACCGGAAATCAGCCATTGGACATGGTTTTCTGCACCCAGAGGTCAAAAACTGCCAGCTCACTGCTGGTCCACAGCTGATCGATCCCTTGGGGCATGACAACTGCCATCTGGACGACAGAGTGTGGACTTCGCCCTCTCCAGGCGTCACAGTCAGCAGGACAGGGTGGCTGGGGTCTCGTGACTGAAACACATGACAGCAGTTTTACAACTTCTCTTTAAAGGACCTCCTCCTTTCTGGGGCTCCCTCCACACTCCGTTCTCCCTGCGCTGACTCCAGTCCGCCACCTCTGCGCACTCTCACAGCTCCTCACTCGGTTCCGACCCCAGCAGCAGCATCCATGCAGCCGTATCCTGTGCTTTCTTCCCTGGCCAGCTCCTCCTTCTCCCTCAGAAGTCTCTGGGGAGGGCACTCCGCCGGGGAACCCAGGAGCCTGGCATGTCCCCCCGTAATTCTTTAACACTCCAGTGCTCCCCAGTTACGTCTACCCGCGAGTCTGAAATGCCCTAGAAGCGGAGGAGGTGGGGGGAACTTAAGTTGTCAGAAAGGTGACAACTGTAGAACTCAGACTTGGGCTTTTAGGAAGGTCAGGCAAGTACACACATCAGTCCCCGCATCCCATACAAGAGCACCAGATGTTATTTTTTAAAAAGAAAGAAAATATGGCTGTATTTGAAAGTAAGGTGGAAATCTATTGGGGACACAGAAGCTACTAGAAGACCCTGAACAATGGAGAGAGACTGGGACTAGATCGAAGAGAAAAAGCACCAGCCAACACGGCTACAGCAGACTGCGGGGCCACTTGGGGAGTGCTCTGCACCCGGAGTGCAGGGGCTGAAGCGGGGTGGGCTGCCCCCAGCCCACAGAACGATGAACTGGGGTTTCTGAGGCACCCAGGTGTCCTCCCAGCCCTGCTGACCAGCAGGGCCAGTGGTGTTGACATCTCCAGCAGCAGTTTGATGGGTCACTCAGAGAGAGGCAGCGCCCAGATCACCGCTGGCACCTGGGAGGGACCAGGAGTTTCGGTGCCCAGAGGCCAGGCCTTGAGGCGCCCTACCCAGGGGTACATCCCACCCCCTCCCCACTGCCTGGAAAGAGGCCTTAGTACTGGCAGCAGCCACCACCCCTCCCAAAGCTAAAGTCCCAGGAGAAAACTCCGCCACAAAGACAAGCACACAGCCAGGAGCCATCAAGCAGCTGGGGAGAGAGTACACCACAGAAGGGATCCAGGAACTCAACAGCCAGGGGAACGCACTCCAGAGGAAATAAGATTAGCACAAAATAGAGGACATTCTCTAAGAGAAGGATAAATCTAGGAGGAAGTAGGGGAGTACAAAAAGCAACAGCAGGCAAAGAAATTAGCAAAATTTATTTATATGTAATAAATAAACCATATGAACTTACATCTCTATAAATTATATAATAGAAATAGTTACATATAAATATTTATATATTTACATTTATTTATAATATAAAAACATAAATTTATTCTATAATATACATATATGTATACTATTTTTAGAAACACAAGTCCTCAAAAGACCTTCTCTGAAATAAATGTTGAAAGAAATTTTCAAGGAATAAGAAACATAAACCTAGACAGAGAAGAATTTAAAAGCAACAATGAACAGAGAATTAATAAAACACATTGTGAAATATCTAGATAAGGAATGATGATGAAACAAAATGTTTGAAATGGCAATCTAGAGGCAAAATACCGGATGACACCCCACGTGGGAAGAGGGGGTGTGTGGAGGGCAGGCGTGGACGCAGAGGAAGGAAGGAAGGAAGAGCCAAGTTCTCCTTGTGTTTCCGAGGGGATGCAGAGAGCTGGTTCTCTTTCTGGGCTTTGTAAGAAAAATATAATTCTAAGTAACTATATTGAAAATCCACAGTTAACTACTGTAAGAATAGAAATAGGTTGCAAATAAGTATATTTAAAACTGTAAAGTGTATGTGAATGAAGGTTCAATTGCTTCAACAAAGAGCAGAAAGAGAAATAAATGACATAAAGATTGAAAGGGAAGCACCACAGGAACAAAAATGTCCAAAGAATAAACCACAAAGAATATCCAATAAATTCTTATTGGATATATAAATATAAATATCCAATAAATTCTTAAATTTTCAAGTAGTAGTAAAAGTAGAAATTAAAATGAAATGTTGTTTTATCTATTAAATGAGGAGTTCTTAAAAATACTGCCTGGCATTACTGAAGGTTAAGACGAGTTGGTATTCATTTACTGATTGCCAGAGTATAAATTGGTATAGTTATTCTAAGGATTGCTTTTGTAATACATACACCAAGAACTTTTAAAATACAGCCATTTCATTTCCAGGAATTCTACTTCTGGAAAATGTAAGTTGAGGAAATCAGAGTGGTCTGTGAAGATAGGTATTGATGCTCGAATGCCAAGATTCTTTCTCAGGCAATCTCTTCCTCACGTGTGTGTGACATTTTAAATATATGCTCATTGTAAAACATTCAAAAATATTTACAAATGTGAAAAGCTGTAAATAAAAGCTCTTTCTCCTCCAATAATTATAATCTATATAGTTTTAAGCAAGTAGTGCTTATAACTTACAGAGTTTTAGGCAAACATGGGATCAGACTAAACTTAATTTCTTCACTTAACCAATAAAGGAAAGGAAATTCACTTTAAAAAGGAAAGGCAACTTCTCACGTCAGCATTGGACTTTTTGGATGGCTGACCCTGCCTTCATCGATTTGCTGCTGAGCCCGTCTGCTGCTTGGAGGGGCTGAGCCCGAGCTGGTCTGGTAGCCCCTGGAAGGAGGTGAGCGCAAGGAAGGGAGCAGGGCTGGTGCCAGGGGGCAGCCACAGCAGTGAACAGACCAGACCTGTGAGGGAGCCAGCTTGTCACAGAGCTGCCGAGGCCACGTGCAGGGTCTCTGGGACTCCTACCACTTCCTGGTGGGGCAGGGCTGTTGAAGGGTGACAGCACCTGTGGGCAGCAGCAAACCAGCACCCCCAAATGTGGAAGGTCCCCTTTCCAGTGGTGGTGCCTTGCACATGTTTGATATGCTGTTAAGTGAAAAAAATTATAAAATAGTACTACCCCAGGGTGTACACACTGGTGGAACTAGACAGGTCATTTTACTTACTTTTCCCCTGAAAATCAGCCTCGTTAATCAGGGAGTATTGATCTTCTCCCCTATTCCCTACCTGCTTTAGGATAGCTCTGATCAAGAGGATTTTGTTGAACCGAAATGGAACTCCAACTGGATGGACCTCGACCCCCTCAGGCCCCAGGCCCTGTCTGCTCCACGGCCCCAGGGGTGCCCAGGGTCAGCGGTTCTCCAGGCTGAGCACCAACCCTCCGACCTCAACCAAGCGCATTCCACGGGCAGCTGGCCTGGCCTGAATCACTGGCCTCCTGCTAGGTGTGAGGGTGCCAGGGGCTCCCCTACCCTGGTACCCCTGGCCACAGCATGACCGAAGTCCTTGAGCTGGTCAACCAGCAGCCAGAGCAGCTGCCCCGGCCTGCCCCAAGACCAGGCTCCCACCGCCCTGTTGCTGGCAGGGTGGCCCACAGCACAGTACCCCGGCGTAGAAGTGTGCTGCAGCCCTCCCGCTGCCCGCCTCCTCTCAGGCCCTCGTGAAAAGAGGCCCAGCCAGGGAAAATAGCTGAGTCCACCTCGGCTCTGCCGCTACCTGCTGTGGCTCCTTAGGCTCAGGGGACCCGTGGGTCTCGGTTCAGCCCCTTACGAACTGAGAAGGTTGGACTGCTTGGGACTAGCCCACCGTCACAGCAGCCCGCCCGCTGCTTGGCAATGTCTTTGTATGGGTCTGTGTCCCTGCTGGACGGGCGGCTCCGTGGGGGCCTGCGTGTCCCCGTGCCCAGCTCCTGGGCCGAGGTGTGGCAAGAGCAGGTGCTCGCTACTCTTCCCTAAGGGCAGGGATGGGAAACTGACATCTCCCAAGGGCCTGCTGTGCACCCAGCTATCCGTTAGGGGCTGCACTCTTGTTAACTAAGTCCATCCTCGCCACAGCCCTGGGAGAGAGGCACTATTATCGTCCCGTTTCACAAGTGAGGAAACCGAGGCACCAGGCGATCGGGAAACATGTCCAAGCTTACCCAGCTAGTGCGTGGGGGAGCTGAGACTCAGACTCCGGCTGAGGGGAAGATCACATAAGGAATTCCCGACTGTCACATTCTCTGCTTGTCAATGTAATCTCCTGTTCCTGTGGCCAGGGCAGTCCAAACTCTCCTGGAACACAGACTTGAGGGCTGCAGGAACTTGGGAAGGTTTAGGAGTGAGTCTGTGTGCCGGGTCATTTGTGCACAGCATGGGAACTCCACGGGAGAAAGTGAACTTCTCTTCACAAGTGAAACCCAGGAGGACACGACAGGCAGCCTGGAGGAGGGGAGCGGGGGCGGGGGGAGCATCACCAGGACAAGGCTGCCGCGTGTGCAGAGTCGCTGGAGCTGGGTGACGGGAATGGGGTTCCTTCAACACGTCTCTCTTCTTTTGTGTAAGCTTGCACCCTTCCCTAATAGAAAGTTGACACTTG